CACCTGTTTAGACCTCTGTAACGATGGTGAAGCAAGCCAATCTGGATTTTATTTGATTAAAAGACTCTTTCCATATGCTCATTTTTTGTTCAATGAATTCTTATCTAAACATAATCTCATAGATACGACGTGTGTACATATTTATGTACATACATACATATACATATATCGAGTTATGAAGTAATAAACAAGTTATTCAACAGACGAATTCGCTAAGCATTCATAAAAAACATACAACTCGAGCATCAGTTAGTCAACCACTTGGCTAACTCGCCAAATCAGTGCTTACATACATACATACATACATACTATATTCATAAATGCAGCAAATGCACATGTAGTATGTATGTATAAACATAATATGCATGTGTTTATGAACACATACCCATATGTACACTACAAATATTGACTTATGCACATTTTTTGCTCGCAAATAATATGTAAATACATACATACATATATACTCGTAAGTACATATATATGTTTGAATATATATTTGTAAGTAAGACGCTCATTCAGTTAGCCAGTCAGTCAGTCGGTCGGTTGTTTGACTTAGAGGAGTAAGTAAGTCAGTGAGCCGATGAACCAGTGCACCATTGCCGCAGTGTGTTGGCAGGTTACATACAATATACATATATATATATGTATGTTTTTTTTTTTAGTTTACTTAGTCATCTGATGATATTACTTCATACTTGCATGCTTTTATACTTACATACACACATATATATGTATGTGTATAACTAGCATGTGCACGAATATGCAATGCGACCAACACAACCCGACCACAATCCCAATGCGGCTCATGGATGAAAGGGCAGACGAACGAATGAAGATAGGGCCGTAGAAAGTGTTTGTTGCTCGATGCGCCCACGGGGCGGGTACTGGTGACGCAGTTGCAGAGGAAGATAGCAAAGTTGTGTCGTAATGCCATTTACGATTTCATGGATTTCCCTTCAAAAGAGCAGACGCACAGTACTACTAAAAATATAAAACAGCAGCAGCCAAACCAAATGGCAACAACAGTGAGCAATGAATAATCAAAATAAAATAAAATAAAAACAACAACATGCGGCAGCGACGACTTTCACTCTTATTATGCGGCGATAGCAGCGTTTATATGTAAGTAAGACTATAGTCTTCTGGTATTTTTAATATGTCAGTATATACATATATATATACATATATATGTACGTTGTCAATAAGAAAGTAGCAAAAGCTTTCCTAGAGCAAAATGCAATATAAAACAGACATATGTATGTGCATATGTACAAGTATGGTATGTATATATAAACATACACATAAACACATTCGTGATATGCTAGTCTGTTTGTAATGCGTTGGGTATCTGTATCACCGCCAGCAGTGATTGCGAACTGACTTACTGTCTGCTGCCTTACTCTTTTGTGTCTCCTTCCTTTTCTCATTTTTTTGGCAACATCATCGACGATGTAATTATTATTTCGCTATCGTTGTTGACTTTTGCTTCCAATGGCTAACTGATTCGCAGACTGACTGACTGACTGACTGACTGACTGACTAACTTCCTGCGTGACTGACTCACCGAATGACTTGCTTGTAAGTTTTGACTTATTAAGTGTTTATGTGTTTTTTATATAAATGAGGTATAAAAATACCTTACAACAATATACATACATACATATACATATTTATGCACGTACATATGTACATATAAATAAAAATAAGCACTTTTACTTTCATTTACTTTCGCGCTCAATTTTGCTAATGAAAAGGTGAAAAAGATTAAGTGAAAAGTAATTTCGAAAGTTAAATAAGACCTCAAAGGTGTGAGAAGTTTTTCTTTAACATAATAATAATTTTTTTTTGTTTAAATTTATTTTGCTTTTTCATACTTTTTTATATTATCGTTCGTTTAAATGATTTTTGAATTTAAAAATTTGCAATTTACAATTAGATTAATTAAATTTAACCTTCAAATTTTTTCTATTTTCATTAATTTGAATTAAATGCATATTATTTATTTATTTTATTTTTAACTTAATTAAATTTAATTTAGTCTAATTTAGTTTGATAATAATGATGTTTCGGCGCTTACACATTTGCCATGTGTTTGGCCGAGCTTCTCCTCTAATTTGTGGTTTGCGTCTTGATGTTGTTACGCCACTGGAGGAGAGTACAATTTTACGCCGTCTCCGAACGGCAAATGGATTCTATGAGAAGCTTTTTCATGGCAGAAATACACTTGGGGCGATCGCTGTTCTAAAAGACTTTTCCTAAGTTAGATGCTGCTCGGACCATGGATCGAATCCAGGTGCTGCAGTACGCACCTCTAACCACCAAGCCACTTAATTAAAATTATTGAACCTATTTTGCTATAATTTTATATCATCACTTCCAGTACTTAATTAATTTTTTTTGTTCTGCAGGTCTGGGCTCAGCCTACTACTAGGGTCGCATGTAACGAAAAGTGGGCACTCTGCTCTATGTAGCTCCTAAAACGTTATAAGCAGCGCCAGAGCTTTTCTAAGGAGCAGTATTGTTTTTCGGCCTCCAGTTTGAAGTCACGGCTGGTTAACTTAAATGAGGTAACCACCGATATATCAACCCCAGAGAGTTCCGATCCACCTAAAAGCACTGAGTATCTTTTACCTTCGTAGCTGCGCCAAAAAATAATTCATCCACAGACACAGCGACAGAAGGGGAAATACTAGAGAAACATAAGACAGAAGAGTATAAATAAGGATACTAAAAACGGAGTAATAGAAGTAGAAGAAATGCTCGTCTATATCGGCATGAACCGTAAAATGGAGCGCAGTGAAAGATGGCGTGCGAAATACAGAAGAAGACTGAACCTGACCACGATTAGAACGCAAGAGTAGGTAGAATCACATGCTAAAATTCTCTGCACAAATGTTGAAAAAATGTCGTCAAGACTGTGTTTATGACAAATATAGGAGAGGCAACATGGTATATGCAAAAGGAAGCATGTTTACGTCGACAAACCTTTCGGTAGATCACTCCTCTCTGAAGTTGCAGACGGTTGTGAATAAATTCGAAACTGATACATTTTGTAAATATCGAGCCCTAACCGCCAAAATAACTTAAGCGACATTAAAATTTATTTTTTTGATACAGAAATATTCCTAGAGCATCTTGATGCATTTCTGCATCAAAAAAAAAAATAGAATAATCACTTTTGCTCATATACCCGCAAATACTCATGTAACGTATACACCCTGTAGCACTGTACATACGTCGGTAGTCATCTAATACGTTTGCTCGTACGCCTTAATTTAAAAGTCGTATAATTTAAAGAATTTAAATATTGGCGTGGAAGATTTTTACACAGCATCTCTTATGCGCATATATATTACTTTCTTCATGTATATAACAATTTTAGAACGAATTTCGAGTGTGCCAATAAAAATTTTAAAAATTAAATTTTAGTTTCTCAACTAAGCCATATTTTACTCAATGTTGTTTTTTTCATTTGGTGGCACACTAAAAATCGTAAAATTTCAAAAATTACTAAATACCTGCGCCAGATATTTCGCATATATTTTTATTTTTTTTTAATTTGGTGGCACACTCTTGAAACTTCACAGATATGTTGCATTTGATGCCAACTTCCATTGCCTCTAATATGAACATTCGACTTGAAAACTTCATAAGTTATGATTTTTTCGAGTGGCAATGAAAAAATTTGTAATTTCCCCTAAATAAACGCCACTGATTGATATACATATATGCAAGAAGAATCTTTTAACGTTTTTTTATTTGTATCGAGAGAAGGAAGTGACGTCGAAAAGCACGACGAAGCGCATATAGACGAAAATTTTAAATTCCTGACGAGATTTGTCAAAGGCTCTTACCATCTCAGCAATGCAGATCGAAACTGCAAGTCGGAATTTCTTAGCGGGTCTTTCCTCCGCCAGTCTACAGGAGATACACTTGCGATGGTGGAAAAATAAATAGGGACGCGACATTTTAACAAGTTTTTTTGTTTTTTTTTATTCAATGAATATTTTTTTATTAAAATATAGCTGTAAGTCTGAATTTCGAACTTTATAAAAAAATTAGAAAAATTCGAGAAAGTTTCATAAAAATTTAAAATTTTTTATTCAGAAAAAATGTTGGTATGCAGTTTTGTAGTCCGTTAAATTTTAATAAAGAAAGTGTAAGTTTGAAGTTTTTTTTACGGTGGCACCCTGCTTCTTTCAGAACTAAATAACTAATACGTACACAGGGTTCGGTCCCGCACAAACTTACACTTCTTTAGGACTTTTTAATCAACTTCAAAAAACGAGTTTTTAAACTCGTGGGAATATTATTTTAATGTACATAAATATGTTTACGTTGGACCGCCTCAACCGTTTTCGATAAAATTTTTATCGAAAAAGTGCCACCTCAAAGATGGACCCATACTGACTTGGTTTAGTTCCGTTTACTGTTTAAGCTTTGAAATCGGTTGTGTTTTTTACTAAAAATTACTTTTTTCATTTTTACGTACTTTATTCTTTATTTTATAAATGGTTTATTTTTATTTTTCATTAATTTTCATAAACGATTTGAGTTTATTTTGTTTACATTACTTTTCACGAAAAAAAAATACTATCAAAAAAAAGAAAACGGAAATTTCCGCCCTTTGCAGCCATTTTGTTAAATGTGGCTTTCAAGTTACTTCCACAAACCAAATCCGTAGGCGCAGGTGCATGCCCCTACACACATTTAGACACAGCTTACCTCTGCTGCCAATTGCAATTTGGCACGCTACCCACGACAACCCATCACACCGCTGCCGCCACCCGTTGAAATTAGCTGCTGCCCCCTCCCACACTTTTTACTCCCCAACGCTTTGGCAACCCTCTCTCTGCATATTGTAATCCTGTTTGCTAGTATTTGCATACTAGTTTTCCTTCTTAATGGTAGTCTATAAACGAGTGTGTATTCGTATAGAAAAATACATACATACATACTTACATACGGGTATGTACTTATCTATGTACACACTTCTTTACCTTTTATTGATCCACTAGAGTTGTTGTGTCCCGGCGATTGTACGTTGCTTTGCCCTAAATTGTTCGCGTGTGCTTCCAGCTTGCATGTAACACTGCTCCACATGTCAAACATACGTTGCGTATACATTATAGTTGTTGTTTTGGTGGTTGTTGTTGTTGTTGTTAATGGTTGCACTTTTTTTTTTTTTAAAGATATTTATTGATGTTTGTTTATGCTCGCTAGTGTGGCTGTGTACGTATTTGTTGGCAGTGTTTATTTGTTGTTGTTGTTGTTGTTGTTTTATATATGTTTTATTATTATTATTACGAAACTGTAACTTTTATAGGTTTGCTACTTGGCTGCTGCTCGTTATTGTTGTTTGTTGTTGTAGTTGCAGTTATGTGGTTATGTGAGAAAAGCTTTACTGTTTTTGTTTTTTTTGTTGTTTTGTTTGCTAACCAGCTGACTTATGCGCACACACAGACAAAGTAAGTGACGCCTGTACGTATGTATGTATGTATGCTTGTATGTGTTTGTGTGAAATTTTATGTTGTTTTATTGGTTTTGCTTTCGAATTTCGTATTTTCTTCGGCGTTTAAAAGTTTTTGTTTTTTTTTTCTTGCTTTTGAATGCAATTTTAGTATTTTGAATTATTTAATTTTCTTTGAAAGTGTGTTTTGTGTGTTTTTATTTTTATTTAGACTTTTATTGTTGTTACTTATTGTTGTGGTTGCTGACGACTTGCGCGCGCTCGTTTGCTGCCTTTTTTGCTTTTTGTAACTTCCCTTTTTTGCAAGCGTTTCGTTTTTTGTGTTTTCACTTTTTTGTTTTTTGTTGTTGTTTGCTTGCTTGCTTGCTTGTTTGTGGGAATTGTTTTATTAACTATTTAACTCAGTCGTTAATTGTTTAATTATTTGAAACATTCGCGCCGTGTGAAATTTTAGCATTTGCACAAAATTCGTGTTTCATAAGCTTTCGTCCGCGTCTACGCACTACTGCAGGCATAGTTGACGCACACATTGCGAAACAAATTTTGTTTATTTTCTTTAAAATTAAAAAAACCTATATATTTTTGTGGTACAAAATATTTTTTAAATTTGTATGTGGGTGCGTAAAAAACTTGTTATTAGATTTAAAAAATTTTGTTTTACTATTTTTTAAGTTGCACTATTTTGACTTGCAAATATTTAACAATTTGTTGCAGTCGTAATTATAATTGTTTAACTTTTGTGTGATTTTTTATACAAAATGTTTTTGTATTCACTAAGTTATAATTTTATAAGTTTATAATTTTATTATAATTAAAGTATTTTTTATTTTAAATATTTTTTATATTTTTAATATTTATTTATTTTTAATAATAATTTTTTGCCAGGGGGGCCATTGCACTTCGGAGTTGTGTTGTGTTATTTCTTCTAAATTAAACAAAATTGTTGCTGTTTATTTGCTTTAAATTGTGGCGCGTATTAAAGTTGTGAAATTAAATTATTATTATTATTTTTTTAATTTTTAGGTTATGTGTTTTTAATGCACATATTTTAGCAAATTCTTTAGAAAAACCACTATTTCTACGCTTGCGCTTTAATTTCAAAGAGGTTGCGTCTAATTTTAATGGGTTTGAAACGTTTTGCAAAAATTTTTTTTTATAACAATTCTTTTATTTTTATAACTGTACAAAAATGCGTTCTCTTTACCTCTTATAACATATGTATGTACTATAAGTGCATATATGTAAGTATGTATGGGTGTATATAAATTTGTAATATTTTGTGGTACTTTTTTTTGTAATTTTTAATATTTTTAGCTTGAAACGTTTTTTATTTTTTATTTTGCGTTTATTTTACATGTATTTTAAACGCTTTCTGTTGGCTAATGTATGCGTCAATTATTTAACTTACTGTATCGATTGTTAATAATTTTTTTGTTATCCCTTTTTTAACTGTTATGCACTATATATGTATGTAAATGTGAAATATTAGTATCACAGTTCTGTTGGTTTTTAATGATGCCGCTATTTTTGTTGTTCTTCTATTTTTTGTAGCTATTTTTTTTATAAACTTTTGCTTGAATTTTATTAAATTTTTAATGCTTGTATATATGCAAGTTAAACGCTTTTTAATTTTGCTGCTGCTGCTTTTTTTGTTGTTGTTACTGCTTTTCGAATATATATTTCTGCTTGTTTATGTTTATGAAAAGGTACTATTTGCTGGTTATTTACTAATTAATATTTTTAACAGTACTTTTCTTACTGCCAACTTATGTAGGTATATATATTTATATAATACATATATTTTTTGTATATATAGTTTATATATATATATATATGTAGATTATTTAGTTTTTATTTTTAAGAATTATTAATTTTAATTCTTTTTAATGCTAAGACACTTGTTCGCACAAATAGCGTAAAATAAGAAACAAACAATCTTTAAATCCGTCGGTCAATCCATCAATCGTTTACTAAACATAAAAGCCAACTCAATGTTTGCAATAAACAAGTTTAGGCAACGTTTCAAGCAATTAATTGCCACACTCGTTCCTCGCTACTCGTTACTCGTAGTCAACTTTTCAGGCGACGTTTTACGCAATAAACTGCAACTCGTTACTCGCTGCTCGTCACTACTCACTCGCTACTCGCTGGTAGTCACTCGTTATACGCTGATCGCAGTTGCTTGTGCTGTTGCTTATAAGTTAAAAAATAACTTTTTCCTTTTCAAAAATTAATTTACTCGCTTTGCCTTTGGAAATTATGAGTACAAATGCCACGCTTACAGCAACAATGCGCTTTAAGTTTAGTGTTTTTTAATAATTCTCTATTTTAACTCAGCTTTTGTTCGCGCTCTCTCTCTATAAATATCTCTCTCTCTCTCGCTTTCACCCAATACACACACCTACACACGCACGCATGCCGCTTGGGTGCCTGCTCGCTGCGCCGAGCTGGCGGAATTTCTTTGTTTTGTGAATAGAAATTTCTTAATTTTTATTTCCCCTTTGAAAGCGTTGAAATTTCTTTTTTCGCCAAAAATTATTTTTTATGCTTTTTTCGTCTCTTTTTTTCTGCTGTGGTTGTTATTGCTGGACGCTTGTGCAGGTTTTGCGTGGTGCGTTTTTCATATGATTTTGCAACAATTTCAAATGATTTAAATGCGTATTATTGTTGTTGTTGTTGCTTTTGGCGTTATTCCGCTGCTGCTGTTGCTGGAAATAATTTAAATGCTGTTGTTGTGGTTGTTGTTGTTGTTGCTGCTGCTGTTGCCGCTGACAATGACCAGCGCTTTGTTGATAATTGTTGATTTTTTGGCTGCAGCTACAATCGCTTTGACTACCGCCGCTAACGCTGATGCTGATGTTGTTGCAGCTGCTGTTGTTGCTAAAACTTTTATGATTATTATTTTTAATTTTACACTTTAACACTTTCACTGCGTTGCTAAGCTGTTGTTGTTGTTGTTGTTGTTGTTGTTGCTGCTGACCACTGTCATTGTTGTTGTTAAATCGCTGCTGTTGCTGTTGCTCTTGCTGCTTTTTATTATTATGTTGTGGTTGTTGTTGATTTCTCTTCTTTTGGTGATCCCTTTGGTTCCAAATTAAAATTTCCAAAAATACGAAAATTTCACGACAATTTATTCCGGAAGACATTTGGAATTTATTTTATACAGCTGCAGCGACGAGTCCATTTCAACACTTTGCTGTTGTTTTTCTTGCTATTGTTGTGGTTTTATTATATGGTTTTTTTTAAAATTTTTTTTAACTGTGTGTGTTAGCGTTGCACTTGTTGTTGTTGCACACAGTTTGTTGTTGTGGTTGTTGTTTATCTGTTCTGCGTTGTTTTTTTTTTTGGGTTCGCCTTGCCAGAGATTCGTGGTTTCTGTTGATTTTGTTGTTGTTCTGCTTTTCAATTATTTAATTTTTTTATAATTTTTTTCCTTTATTATTGGTGAGGTCACTTATTTTTTTTGTTAATGTAGATATTTTTTAATTTACTATATTTCTTTTTTGTTTTATGAATTTGTTAGTGTACTTGGATGGGTTATGCGATAAGTGAATGAAGAATGTGGATTGCAAAAATTAGATGCATTTTTTGGGAAAATTACTTGGTTAAAATTTTAATGAATCTCTTAGCGAATATTTATGGTTGTCTATTGGCTTTGTCAGAGGATGGACAAGAAAGGGGAGGCGCGATTGAGTTGGCTTATCAATAACTTCACCCAACGACACCCAACTGCATGACAATGATCGTCACCTATTATCTGCTGTGCCGACCAAAGATTAGTTCAGTTTAAAATAGGGTAGCCAACTTATTTTTGATAATTCCCCGATTTTTCCCAAAATTTCGCAAAATTCCCCATCCATAGATATCTCCTTATTTACAAACAAAATATGCATTCTGATCTATAGCTGGTCTTTCTGTTTATTTTGATTTTAAGTGTAATTCATCTATTTATTCATAAACCTAACCAAACCTTTATAAAGTTCGTTAGGAAATAAAGAACAAAAATGAGCATATAACATTTATACAAAAACAGTGCTCGAAAAAAATATAATCCCACCAAATTTTGACAAGTTTTGAAATTTTTATTTTTTTGTTGTTGTTTATCTTGATTTTTTTTTATGACCATAGAGTTCATTCTTTAACAAAAAGCATTCAAATCCAAGTTTCAAACTTTGTACAATATAAAAAGAAATCAACAAATATTCGTACGAATTCCGCTTATTTAGTAAGATAGTTTGAACTCGCTTTAACTCAGCCAGATTGGGCGTTTAAGTTTAAAGTTTAAACTACGTTTAAATTTGAATGAAAAACTACACACTGTGTTTAAACTTAGTTTAAACGACAAACAGAATAAAAATCGCACTGAAAAACTGGCCCAAAATAGATTAGTGTCGGTTATGCGACCACCGTGACCGAGTAGGTAAATCTGTTAACTGTCACCCACTAGGTCTCGGATTCGTGGGCATTTCGCCACAGACATTTTCCTTCTTAATTTCATTGAAAAGATAATCCCGCCAAAAATTAGGAGGCATTTTTTTTAAGAAAACCCAAAGAAATATCTTCTTATATTTGTTCCACTTTAGTAGAGGGTTTTCGCGCTGTGCTGGCTCAATATATACTATTCTTTGCTGACATCGCGAGCAAGGTAATATTGAAGGGAATTAAATAAATTTGTGAACGGCATTATCCGATGTGCTCCGCATTATCAGTTTGTGGCATAATCGGTACAACAATGATGCTGTGGAATAACTACGGTTAGAGGGATGTGCCTTCTCCTGCAGAAATCTGAGGAAGGAGGAAGGAACATCATTCGATACATCAAGTACGCTATTGAAATTGCAAACAAATATTTCGATATACATAAGTAGATTAAATTAAGAGCCAATTTAACTGTACTTTATTCACATAAACATATCAATACTAGTGGTGGATGTTACGTGTATCACACCAACGCACCAGACGCAACTCAAAAAACAATTCATGAATAAATATCGGCACAGGTTGTCGCTGGCTGAAGTTGCTATCGGTTATTAAAGTTATATAAATTAATGTATGCAAATGTTGTTGTTACTTTTTCATTGCATAAAAAAGCGT